CGTCCTTTTCTCTGGCAGACTGGCAGGCAGCGGCAGGATCGTATACTCGTCACAAGAAGAGGGCTAAACACTAAAGTGCTTGCGTCCACTAGTTCGCGTGAAAAACCAAGACCTATTTGCCCTGTTCCAGCTCTCTCAATCAAGTTTCGCTCAGGAACCGAGGCACCGGGAGAGGCTTCCCTTCGGTCCAGGAACAAAGAGTCCGTGTGCTCGCGGGCGCTTACAAGCTGCAAGCCCCGATCCAGACAATATTTCACGATCATCGAGGACGAGATGGGCTTCTTTTTTTTCCTTTCCCCCAATGTCTCTAGCGCCTGTCAAGTTAGTGTCAACTAATACGGCGGATACTTCCTGCGGCCTGCCGCTTCGTCTAGCAGAACTGCCTACCTAAGGTAGCTAGCAATCCATCGTGAACTCTCACCAGGAACCGGTTGAAGTTTGACTCAGAACTACTGCAGTTGGGCCAAAAAGGAAAAAAACTTGGAGAGCTCCTTCCTCGTCTTCGGCCGAGAACCTCCGCATCTCAGGATTTTGGGCCAAGGTTTAATTCCCCAGGTAGCGCTTTGCAGCTTTGCTTCTTCCTCTACCACGGCGGCAGGATCTCGCGACGTCGGAAAGCTGTCACTGCGACGGCAGAAACATCCTCTCATACAGGTTGGTTTGGCGGGTTGCCCGAATCGGGCAATCCTGCAGCATTTGCTGTCTCTCTGCAGAAGATCCTTGTTTTACATCCTTGCATCGCGTACCCGTACTGATGATCAACCAGGGGAAAATGTGATCGAAAAGGCGCTATCCGTACAATGTGTTGGTTCCGAAGAGGAGGTCCAATGCAGAAAATACAGAAACCCATCATCTGATCAAAATGATTCCATCAGAAAACCCTGTTTTGGCGCCGGGCTTGGAGGACTTGGAGACTTTAGGGGGGGTAACTTGGCACTTCGGTTGACTTCCTTGGGGCCATACGCCATTGACTCCTTCGCTCCGTATTTCTGTCAGTGAGTTGCCTGCCGTCCGGGGATCTTCGAAAGAAAAGTGACAGAAAAGTGACGGTGTCACTGGTGTCACTGGTGTCAAGTATGGTCACGATCTTCTTCTCTGCTCTCCACCCGCCCGACCGTGCACACGCAATACACCGCTAAATCGAGCTGCAGGAGCAAGAGATGCGGAACCTTGGATACGGGGTGGGCGTCGCAATCGTTTGGGGATGCTGGGAACCAGGTGCAAATCGCCCCCTCATGACGGGCAGGCAGATTGACAAGGCGCGTCACGATCGAACTTCTCCAGTTTCTCCAGCACCACTCACTCCCACCGTATTCTATTCTCAGATAGGGAGGGGGGGGGGGGTTACCTGAGAGCATGACCGAATACTGTTCAGATATCAGACGAGAAGCGTACGGTAGGTGATACTCGGGGCGAGCCACCGGTCTGAGACGGAGCCAAGCAATTTTGGAAAACGTACCGTAAGGTGATGATTACTTGATGTATTATTGCTGTCCTGGGTTGATTAGAGCCAGTAGTTCGCGATTTGGGATTGATGAACGAACGCCGGGCCACTGCGGGAAACATAGCATTACCCTATTTGCATGTTGCGGAGGCAAAACATTGGCATTGTCTCAACGCCCCTCGGAAAAGGTTCATGCCTCCAAAGATTTGAAGGTCCGTTCCTGTGATAGATGATCGGTCAGAGGCCTGTCTGTCCGTCTATTGTCTATGGTTTCAACCGGCGACCTCCGCGATCGAAAGAAGACTGTTCAGCTGATGTCTGATTTGGATTGTGCCATCCGGCGGCGGCGTAAGGACTGACAAGTCGTACCATAATTACATTGAAAATCTGTGACGAGTCCGTCCCAGGCGACGAGTATCAAGAAATGAGAAGAGAGTGGCACAGATGGTTCGAGTGGCTGAAGCGCTTCATGCGACTGATGTCTCTCTGCCCGGAGACACGGAGCCTTTGCCTACCTCTTGGTCGTCTGGCAGCCCTATAGCATTCAGGAAACCGTAAAGACGGCGTTTTCAGAGCAGCATACATCTCTCCCGCCCGCATTCTCATTCCCTTGCCTGCCTCAGCTGTTCGAGCTTCGAGCGGCATCAAGGTCCTGGAGCTCTCTCCCCGGTCAAAACGGATGATCCAAAATACCTAGGTAGGTGGACGCCTCGCCGCCCGCCATTTGCTGCATGTTCCATCATCTTCGGTTAGGCTGTGTGCAACACATGGCGTTTTTAAAGTGTATGCCGTGTACCCTCGTTCAGAAACCTGCAGGAATGCCGCCGCTGTCGGACAATTACCGCAAAGGAAAAGCCTGGCATCAATATTTCCTTGGGGGCGGGGGTCTGAAGCGAGGTCAGAGACAACATGATAGTGTTGATTAACTTAATAGTGTGTATGGATACTGAATACTGCAACAGATAGTGCCACGGTTCACGGCATATGCAGGCAGACAAATTCCATCATGAATTGGGGTTGCTGCGCTGGCGCGTCGTACCCATCCACCTCCAGTGGCAGTTTTGTTGCGATGGTGACATTATCGCCCGAGTTGAGGTAACTGATAAGATCCTGGCGCCATCAATGATCGCCCGCCACCCCGTCTTTTGCCTGTTGAGCGCCAGGCTGTGGTCTCGGGCGGCTGCTTCATCGAACGAGTGACCGTTGCACTCATCTCACATCTCAGAAAATCGCAGTCAGCCCGTGTGTCCGTTTTGGAATGCCCTCACACAGCCCCCAAATCAGCCCCCAAGTATACTCGGTGCCCCGCGGGTGTTTCCTTTGAGGCGATTGACGTGCCTCTTAATATCGATATACGATTTCCGTATCCGTAGTCGGCCGAGGACGGCCAAGCCACGCTGCCAAAGAAACTCTCTCTCACTCGGCAGCCTCGGCATCGTCCTTCTTGTCAAGAGAGGACCACAGCTCATTTCCTCCAGCCTTCGATTCGTTGTGTAACCAATGAGAACTCAGAGACGGTAGGCAATACAGAGGCATCTGAAACATGCTCTTTTCCTCAACTCTCGTCTCGCTCCGCAGTGACACGAGGTGTGCGACGCAAGCCCCCCAAAAGCGTCCACCGTTCTCCTCCCCTCCCCCGAGAATGATGACAAAGTGGCCCCCAAAAGAGCTCGGGAAGCACAGAGGCGTCCGCTCTGTTGGCTCAGTTCACCGTTTCTCCCACGTGGTGTTTGGCAAGGGGCCGGCTGACGGGCAACAACCTACCCCTGACGATCACACCACACCTTGGACACCTTCGAACAGGGATCTCATCGAGCGAGCGAGCGAGCCGCTGGCTGCTGCTGCTGATGTGTACTGCGTACGCCCGGACCTCCCCCAAGCTCAGGTGTGATGGGCGGTGCGACGGCGGCAGCTCAGTTGGTCACACCTGGCCTGGCTGCTGCAAGCTTCTTGCTCATCAGGCTTTCAGCAGAGACGGGGTGCGAATGACAGATAGTTCGCGAGCCAAGAACGCACAGTCGAAGCCTGATTGATGTTGGCTCGACACAGCCCATCGCTGGTCAGCTGAACTCCGCCGGTCTTGCTGTTGGTGCCGTTGCTTCGTAGTAGTTCCAATAGAACAGCTTCCCGTCCCAAAAAGATCAACGACCGCTACTGCAGGTACAAGGGGAAAATTGGCGACGGATTCTGAGAAGGCCTCAGTTGTATTACTGTACTATTCGCCTTGGTCTCTCGCTTCCCGAGACATCTCACACGGCCCCTTGAAGCTATTCCAATTTATCGTCGCCCGCAGCAAGGGACAACATCGCGGGGCACTTACATGTCACGGACAAGGTGCCAAACTTACCAGAAGGGGTCTTCAACAAACGGAGGTCGCTAGGTTCATTCTCCGTGACGAAGTGACGAGGACTCAGTTCAGATTCTGTTTTCCCCCTACCCCATACGATGCCGCCGTAGTCGCCGTCATTGTGACCCACCTCCGCGACCCGCCGCGAACCCCGCTGCCCAGAAAGTCCATCGGCCGAGCATGTCGAAAAGAGGTAACCCGGGGAGAAAGAGGTTTGTATGACCGGTTCTCGCTTCATTTAGGAGGGCAACACGTCGAGAAGGTTGCCGTTCCCTAACTCCGGGTGATGATACCCTTGCGTCAAGGGTGCCTCTGAGACGCGTAAACCCAGAACTCGGTTTGCGTCAAAATGCCCGCACGTCCCGCTCAAACGGTAGAGAAGGCAGACGCTTCACGGACTATGTGGACAGTTTCGTCCGGTCCCTCGACAAGGGCCATCGACCTTGGGTCTGTACGGATACGCTACTCTCTGCTGCCCTATCCGTACGGGTAGTGAACATCAACCGGCTCGGTGGGGAGAGAAACGGTTGATCGGCCAGTAGGCGATGCAGGTTGACGCTTTGGGAGGAGGCTAAATCGCAAGTTCACTGTTTCCTCGGCTTCGTTTTCTGCTACGCCCATGGCCCGATAGACTGGGTGCTGTGCCATCACCGCTCCAACGATCGTCCACACCCTCATTCTGCCGTCGACCCATGGCAGCGCGTGGTCATGTGTACTCAAGGCTGGGGGGGTTGCATTTTTGACGGTGAGGATTCGCTGTGCCTCGCTGACACCATTCAAATGCAATTAATTCTGAACCGTCAGCTTAGGCGGGGTAAGTAGCAAAGATACCCTCTTCTTATCGTTGCCGCATATGCTGTGCAGCGCAGCGAGGTTGAAAGCTGCGAGGCTTATCATTATCCATGATGTTTGTCCATGAGAGAGCTGCCGTGTAAGCCACTTCCGTTCTACTAAGAGTTAGCGATCCGGCTGTATAGCGGCAAGGATCAGAGACAGCTCTGCAGCCACTCCGCCGTCCGACATCTCCAATCATGTCGTCAGAGTCTCTCGTCAAATCGTCCGACCACGAGTCCGTGCTGGGCGGGTTAGACGGGAAGCTAGCGTGACTCTGCCTGTCAGTAAGCCGACACTGATTTGTGATCAGGCGAATTAACTAGGTTAGGCTGTCATTATCGTGACTCTTAGCCACTTGGTCTCTGAAAATGATGGTGTGTAGCAGCAATTTGACCGAGTACCTACCTACCCTACGACCGTAAGCAGCATCAAGGGTGGGGATTTGAGGCTTCACAGGCAGATGTCTGTCGGTACTTGGTCGAGATGTATCTTCTTGAGCTATGTATTTTGGTACGAATGTGAGATCAGCCTTCCATCGCGTGTTTGACGAGTTTGGCATCGATGTTGCGCATCTAGGAAGCAATTGCAAGTAGCATCCTTGCTGACGTTTCCTGATTGGAAATTTGCCCTGTCTGCCTTTCCAGGAGAAAGTTGAATGTCACAGTCGCCTGCGCTTAAAGTCATGTGTCATGCGCTTGGAGGCTACGGTGCCCTTGATCGCCTCTAGGAACGGCTGCCTCGGCCGATAAGTCAGTTTCGTTTCCGCGTCCACCGCTACATACAGCTTCCTCAAACTCGAAGCCTAGACTAGGGTTTCCTTCCGCCTTGGAGGACCTCGTGGTCGATGTCGTTACGATCGTTACGATCGTCGGAGTTGTAGAGGCATATACGGCGCCAAGAGGAATCCGCGACAGACAAGAAGAGGGGGTGGTAAAAGCAGAATACGAAATCTGCGCAAACGGCAGGAGAAGTCCATGATTCCAGCAGGTCGGGAACTTTGCAAAGCTAGTGCGGCCTTGGCGTGGCATTGGGACTGAATCGTAACGTCGTATGCTCTCTGTTGCCCGAAGCCGAACAGCTGGGCTGGCGTATGCCAACGTGCCAACCAACTTGCTTTCCATCGAGCTCGTTTCACTTGTCGCTGGCCTAAGTAAGCATCGTCAACCGTGCACGCTTACAGCAACTGTTGCCCATGGCTCATCTGGATCGCCACTTCGGCACCATGCCGTATTGGAGCTATGGCAATCCGGGACTGTCCCGGTGAATAAGACGGCGTTTATAAGCGTGCTATAGTCCGGTGTGGGAGCCCGACGTATCCCTACAAGGCCCGTTTGGCGGACTTTCCGCCGGTCCGAAGGCGGAGCTCGGGATGACCTTGCCTTTCCCCAGCTTTCGTCAAGGCTTGGCCTGCACAATATCCCAGCAACACGTGTAGTGTGAATCTTTCTTGAACCATTGTCGCTTTCGTAATGGGCACCCAGCGGGGCTTTCTCGAAACAGCCGCGTATTCTTGCTTCGTATCCCAGATCTCGATGAGTTTGCGGTGAGAGTGTCCCGTTAACGTTGCGCATCTACTGCAAAGAGACTTGGCTAGTCTAGACACACGAAACGACGGGTGGATAATAGCGCGATTATCGGTCCAAGGTGGCCAAACTATACGAAGCATGCCAACAAATGGCAGTGACAGAGGTGTCAAATTTTCAAAAGTTGGTCCGAAGTGAGCTGCCATCGTGTCATCGGTTATTCATGCCGGTGAGGTGGGTGAGCTCCCCCCACGATGTGAAGTCACTTCTTTGATGTGGCAGTTTTGTAGGGCCATGGTATTCTTGCCTAGCGGCTGGTCTTCATGGTGCGTCCTCCTCGGCGCCAGGGTTGGGCATCTGGGTAGAGCTGATCCAGTTCTCCATGCTAGCTTGACCTGCAGGCTGCTTGGCACCCCCAGCTGCAGTCGAAGATGCTAATCTTAGACCTTGGCGCTTCTTGACAACGAGGCAAAGCACACGACCGTAGATCGCGAAACCCTCATAGGAGACATCCACTGCCATCTTCTTCTTGTCGTCGCCGTCTTCCTCTAGGTCAGACCCAGTTTCTTGCTTCTTGACACGCTTGGACGGCCGAGGAGCATCATCGTCGGAGTCTATCTCAATCGCCGAAGCCTCGGCGCCAGCATCATTTTCCGAGGTCGTCGCGTAGTCGGCATCCTGATCATCGCGAGGTTCTCCGCGCTGTCTTTTTGATCGCTGAGGCCGGCTTGTTTCATCGACAGCGGGGATGCGGGAAAGGCCGGCAGTGTCGTCCTCGGATTCACTTTCCTGCCGAATAGGCACCGTACCAGCGGCAGCCTCGGACTCCATGTCCAGATCAATGGGTACGTCATTCGTTTCGTTTATCAGTTTGTTGGAGTTTGACTGCAACTTCCCGGGCGCTTTGTCGCGGAAGTGCTTGTGCTTAGTGAGCAGCGAATGGCGCGTACTTGTCTCGGTCAAAAACATGGAGACCTCAAACTCATCTGGCAGATGTCATGATCAGCCAACTTTATTCGGTTCGAGAAATGGTCTGGACCGGGCTGATTACGACGGCGAGGGTTGGGTTGGGTTGAGCGGGACGGTGACAGTGAGTAAGGCTGCGAAACAGGACGACAAACCTTGGACAACAACATCCTTGATAGTCTTCTTTTTGGAAGTCTTCTTCTTTGCCCTTTCTCTCTCCTTCTCTTCACGTAGTTTTGGTAACACTAATGGACGGACGCTCTCGATGACCTTGGGTAAGATGGGGTTCCGAGGATTGAGAAGCCAGCTTTGTGCCAACGCCGGATTGTCGAGATAGATGCGACACTCGAGAACGGAGTACTTTGTGATCCTCAAATATCGGCGTAGAGGCGCCATAGTTGCTGTTTCCTATGAGACGCAGTTGCAGTGAGGCTCGTGCAGCATAAACTCAAGCCTGGATTCGAGGTGGTATTTTACTGAGACGTAAAGAGGTGGCTTTCTGAAGAGGTCTTTGCCCAATACAACGTGGTCGAGTGGTGCGCGGAAACCGAAGGGAACTCGAGGTAGTAAGTGATCTGAGGAGCTTTCAGAAGAAAGGCTATGATGAAGTTGATGTCGAAGGGGAAGTGGCTGTAGATGAGTGCAGGTTGCCCTGACTGCACGTCGTGACGTCGGATGAGAGCTGACCCACCTGCACATAAGTACCTTTCCTAGTTTAAAGCGTATTTGCGGGTGGGTAAGGGACGTATACCTGAGAATCCGCGCCGCAAGTACTACCAGTAGCATTCTCCCTAAGGTATCCTGCAGCAGCAGTGCCCCGTGCAGTTGCTCCCGCGGGGCGGCGACTGAACGCAGCACGACACTGGATGCGCCTGCCGCCAGTGACCTCAGGCAATTAACAAAGGGCCCACTTAAATTTTCTCGGAATCGCGTCGTCCAGCTCCGGTGCCGCGTCCAGAAGCTCCGGTTATCGACTTTCTCGTCCAATGGCCGAACCTCAAAGTCCGCACCGCAGTTCGACTCTCTGTTCCTCTCCTTCGTAGTGATGCTGACAAAGCGATCATGTCGAAGTCATGGGCATCGACACTGAGGCTACCCAAATCCACATTCCCGTAAGCTTTCCCGATCTTCTGGTGCAACCACCGCCGCTCCCCCCTCGGCTCCGTCCTCAGCTTACCCGTGGCCCGGGCCGTCTTAGACCGCGCCCGCTCTCGCAGTTCCGTCCCGAGTACCTCCGCCGATCCGCCGACGACTTCTATAAGTGGCAGTCATCCAATGACTCTAGGCCCGAGTTCATTCTGCACGATGGCCCCCCGTACGCAAATGGGGGCCTTCACGCCGGTCACGCCTTGAACAAGATCCTCAAGGACATGATTAATAGAGTGAAGGTCCAGCAAGGTCCGATAGTACCCCGGATTCGCTTTCTACGTCGTCGCCTAATGCCAGTCTTGTAGGATATCGCATACGCTACAGGCCCGGCTGGGATTGTCATGGCCTCCCTATCGAAATGAAGGCCGTTGGCACGTCAGGCGGCAAGGGCATGACTCCGGTAGAGATCCGTAAGGCTGCGAGACAGCTCGCTTCCACCACCGTTCTGGAGCAGATGGAGGGCTTCCGCTCGTACGGCGTCATGGCCGACTGGGACGCGCGATGGACGACAATGGACCCCGATTTCGAGGTCAGGCAGTTGCGCTTGTTCAAGCAGATGGTACGGCGAGGCCTCATCTACCGTAAAAGCAAGCCCGTATACTGGTCGCCATCCTCAAGAACCGCGCTGGCGGAGGCTGAGCTGGAGTACAATGAGAACCATGTTTCGACGGCAGCTTACGTTCGGTACCCAATCGTTGGCGGCCCCTCCTTGGACGGCTTTACTGGCCAGCTCTACGCCATTATCTGGACGACAACCCCCTGGACCCTCCCGGCGAACAAAGCCATCGCAATTCACGAAGAACTGGACTATGCCATAACCGCCGTCAACGGAAGCGCATACCTCACTGCAGTCAGCCGTCTTGAGGCTGTTAAGGCCCTCTTCCCCGAACAGCCTCAAGTCATCGTGGCATCTATCAAGGGTTCCGAATTGCGTGGCTTGCAGTATAAGAACAGGCTGCAAGGGGCCAACTCTGCACTTCAACCAATCATCCACGCAGAGTTTGTGTCAGCAGATTCTGGAACTGGACTTGTCCACATCGCTCCTGGTCACGGTTTCGAGGACTACGAGGCTTGCGCGCAACTGGGCATCGATGCCTTCGCACCTATCGATGACGAAGGAAACTTCACCCGTGACGCTTTCCCAGACGATCCAGAAAAGCTGACCGAAGCCTCCTCGATCCTCAAGGGCGGTAGCAAGGCCGTTCTCGCCCTGATTGAAGACGATGTTCTCCAGGCAGCAAAGTACAAGCATAAATACCCCTATGACTGGAGGACGAAACAGCCCGTGGTCATGCGGTCGACGGCTCAATGGTTCGCTGATGTCGGTAGCATCAAGGACGACGCTCTCAACGCCCTAAAGGAAGTCAAGTTTGTGCCATCAACCGGACGCAACCGCCTTGAAAGCTTCGTCGTTGGTCGTAGTGAGTGGTGCATTTCTCGCCAGCGTGCCTGGGGCGTTCCCATCCCCGCTTTGTATGATGCCAACGGAGACGCCGTAGTGACGGAGGAATCCGTCGACCACATCATCTCGGTCATCCAGAAGCGTGGTATTGATGCCTGGTTCTCTGATACCGCCGATGAACCCGCTTGGGTTGCACCGTCTTTGAAAGGAAGCTATAGACGTGGTACCGACACAATGGATGTCTGGTTCGACAGCGGAAGCAGTTGGACAGAGAGCAAGGGCCAAGCCGACGTCTATCTCGAGGGGTCCGATCAGCACCGTGGCTGGTTTCAGTCAAGCTTGCTTTCGTACGTCGCCGCGCAAAGGGCCGAGGGCGACGCAACTTCCCAAGCGCAGCCCAAGTCTCCTTTCAAGACTCTCATCACCCACGGCTTCACGCTTGACCACACCGGCAAGAAGATGTCAAAGTCGATCGGAAACACCATTTCACCCGGTCAAATCATGGACGGCACCCTCCTGCCGCCAATCAAGCTCAGAGGCAAGGCCAAGGTAGCCGGCGCCGCCCCAACCTACGAGGCCCTGGGCCCAGACGCCCTCCGTCTCTGGGCCGCCAGCTCAGAGTACACCAAAGACGTAGCCATCGGCCAGGCGGTCCTCAAGTCCGTTCACGCCGTGCTGGTCAAGTACCGCACAATCATCAAGATGCTGACGGGCTCGATGCACGAGTCCGCCCGGACCGCGCCCACGACGACGCTGGACCACATCGCCCTCATCCAGCTACACGACGTCATGACGGAAGTCGAAAAGGCCTTCGCCGCGCACGAGTTCTACAAGGCATTCAGCGCCCTCAACCGCTGGGTCGCCAACGACCTGTCCGCCTTCTACCTCGAGGCGATGAAGGACCGACTTTACTGCGGCGACGGCGGTGGCGTGCTGGAGCCCATCTTCCTCGGCTTCCTCCGCATGCTCTCGCCCATGACGCCGCTCCTGGTCGAGGAGGCGTGGGACCACCGGCCCGAGTACATCAAGGCCCACAGCAGCATCCTCCATCCTTTGTACACTCCCTACGACGCCCCCGTCCACAGCAGAGCGCCCTCGGCGATCGGGGAGGCTTCCCTCCGCAAGGACCTTCCCGTTCTGATGTCCGTCCAGGGCGCCGTCAAGGCTGCTCTCGAAAAGGGCCGCGCGGCCAAGGTCCTCGGGTCGTCACTGCAGTCTTCTGTGATTGTTACAACCGAGGATCAAGCAGTCGCCGGCGTGCTGGCCAAGTACGGAGAGGAGCTGGAAGCCATGTTTGTCGTATCGTCGGTCGAGATCAACAGGGAGATGCCCAATCAGCCCGAGTGGCGGTACGACGAGCTATTCGAGGTTAACGGCGCAAAGGGGACGGTCTCGGTGCTGCCGCCTAACGAGCACAAGTGCCCGCGCTGCTGGCGGTATATCGCGCCCAAAGAGGAGACGTTATGCGGGCGTTGCGATGATGTCGTGGCGAGTGTGTAGGAATAGAAAGAAGAACATGTACATGTAACAACAGCTAGCCCCCCGAATAAAAGAAACACTATACCCTCATCGGGAAATTTCACATTCGAGGTCGGCATTCTGATATGCGTCTCCTATCTTCCGTCTTCCGTGAATACTGGACAGACCACGTGCAACTGAACAAGTAATGACGGCCTCGATGCAATCGATAACCGAGTGACTAAGTCAACAATGACCAGTGCCACCTCTTGCTTATGTTGGTAATTAATCACTATCACTCCTGGAATTAAACCATCCTACTTTCATTTGTTGTATACTCTGGAGTTTGCGTTTTAATATTTTGCACCTACTGTATCCTTTTCAGAATGGAGACCATCTCAAGCAATGCGCACATAGATACACCGGCCACTAGCTTGCCAGAAAAAGATTTACCTGAAGTAGCGACAATACTCCAATAGCTGAGAATTGGTAAAGAGACGAGGATGAACACGGAACAATCGACGATAAAGGACAATCCGGATGGAGACGAAGACGTTCCAAAAAAAAAAAAAAATTGGCTTTGGACTATATAAGAGCGCTTTATACATGTAGTGTCATCAATCATCACGGAAGGGTGGCCGAGTTGGTTATGGCGCCAGGTTAAGGTCAGCTTAACATCTGTTTCCTGGTGGGGCAACCCGCGCGAGTTCGAGTCTCGTCCCTTTCATTTTCTTCGCTTTTTTGACAATTCCATAGACATGAATGCATGTAAAAAGCATTGAGCGATCATCATTTTGATCCTCTTTGCGATATCGAAGTGGGTTCCCTTTCTTTTCGTCAAACGGTGCCGCATACGCCTTGCACCATCCGCAAGACATGGATCAACGTCACATCTACCTTTGTCACCCAACCTCAAATTTTGGCATGAACAATACCCACTGGTAATCTTGAAATGGATGCTTGTCAATTGTGCGCCGGCCCGAACTACGTGGGTTCAGACCAGACGCATCAGGGAGATGTATATATACAAGAGTTTAATAATGCCATCTAGGTTCTGCTTCCTCTTTGTCTCCCCTATTCATCTTACACCAGAGCCCGGATCCGAGAAGCCATGTGTTGCTCGACCTCGCCGCCGCTTTTTACCACTCGCTCACCTCGCCGGCCTTGGGCGGCTGCACTCTGACAATCTTATCGCAGTTGAGCAGGCAGAGGGGGTCAAGAGCCTTCTTGATCTATCAAGGAACCTCGTGTCAGCACTTACTTCCTAGTCAATAACAAGCATTAAGAGAGAAACTCACCTGTCTCATGGTATCGACGGTAGACTCGCCCAGCTCGTGAGGAAGGTAATCTCTCTTGACAAGTCCGACGCCGTGCTCACCCTATCAGCCATGTTAGCGAATCTCGGATACTTCAATGTACTAGCCAAAGGTCTGACGACAACGTACCGTGACGGTGCCCTCCATCTCGACGGCTCTCTTGACCATATTGTGAACCAGGTGTTCGGCCCTCTTGCGCTCCTGGTCATTGTAAAGCAGAATGGCTGACACCCAAAAGTTAGCACTCTCCCTCTCTTTCACAACATGCGCGTCCCCCACGCATTACCCAAAAGAAGAACTCACTGTGGAAGTTTCCATCCCCAACATGCCCAACAATGGTGCCGAAAAGCCCACTCTTGGCCATAGCCTCCTTAGTCTCCTCAATAATATCAGGCAACCGGCTCGTCGGCACCGCAACGTCCCCAGTCCAGACGTGGTCCCCCTCGCGCCGGACCGCCATCGTGCTCCACAGCGCCTCCTTCCTCGCGCTCCACAGCTCCTGCTGCTCCTCCTCGTTCTTGGCGAAATCGAACGTCTTGCTGCCCGTCTTGCTCGCGAGCTGCTTCACCAGCGCCACCTGCTCCTTGACGCCCGTCTCCGTGCCGGCGAACTTGAAGAACAGCGTCGGCGCCTCGGCCCACGCCTTGCTCGTCATGCCGGCCTTGTTGATGCACTGCATCTGCAGGTCGTCCAGGATCTCCACCGCCGCGACGGGGATGCCGGCGGCGACGACCTTGGCGACGCAGTTCGCCGCGTCGCGGATCGTGGGGAAGGCCGAGACGGCGACCGAGGTGGACGCGGGCTTCGTCGTGACTTTGAGGGTGGCCTCCGTCACGAGGCCGAGGGTGCCCTCGGACCCGATGAAGAGCTTGGTGAGGTCGTAGCCGGCGGAGCTCTTGCGCGGGCGCTGCCGCGTCTTGATGATGGTGCCGTCGGCCAGCACGACCGTCAGGCTCAGCACCCACTCGCGCATGGTGCCGTAGCGGTAGGCGTTGGTGCCGCTGCATCCGGTGCCAATCATGCCGCCAATCATGGCGCCCGGGCCCGGGTCCGGCGGGAAGAACAGGCCCGTCTGCGCCAGCTGGTCGTTGAGCGACTCCCACCCGACGGCGGGCTGCACCACGACGTCGAGGTCCTCCTGGTGCAGCTTCAGGACCTTGTTCATGCGCCCGAAATCGATCGAGATGCCGCCGCGCGTGGGCGTGAAGTGGCCCTCCAGACTGGTGCCGCCGCTGTAGCCGACGACGGGGATGCGTCGCTGGTGGCAGATCTTCATGATCTCTGACACCTCCTCGGTGGTACTGGGGAAGACGACGCAGAACGGCCGCTCGTCGGGCTTGGCCGAGTGCGAGGACCACTCCGAGTTGGCGTGGTGTTCGAGGTCGACCTTTGTGGTGCTGACGTGCTCCTTGCCGACAATGCTGACAAAGTCGGCCCAGGCGGCCTCGAGGTTCTCCTTGTTGAGCTTGTGGACCGGCGCGATCGTCTTGGCTAGCGGTAGGGTCGATTCTTCGCTGGGGCTCGGGGGTACGAGGGTGCCTAGGTAATAGGACACTCCCATCGTGGTGAGTAGCACTGCCAGCACGCAACGGGCGCATTAGCTACTGCAGCAAAGTCTCCTTCCAACGTCTCGCTGCTCCGGAACATCAGGACTTACCAAACGTGTACGCCAGATTCCTGCTGTTCCCCGTCTTCTCCCGCTCGGCAGCGAACCTCTCCCGCTCCGCCTTCTCACGCGCCAGACGCTGGGTGATGCTGCCGACGACCTGGCCCTGGAACGTCCGGCCCTTCTGCTTCTCTTCAGTGTTGCTCGGCGTGCCGCGTTCACTCGACATGTGCCGCGCGGTGGCGCCACTGGCGAGAGCGACGCATCGCCGGCGCGGGGCCGGGCTTGCGGCCCTGAGACCTTGCAGAGCTGCCTGGGGAGCTCGAGCTCTGATATGCGCCATTGCGCCTATGTTCGACTCGGCGGTGGTGTTGATGGACGGGGAGTGTTCGGGGATGCGGTACAAGTTGCTGCACGAGCTTCTTCAATTGATCAGAAGTTAAAGAGGAGGCAGGCTTCGAGCCATCCGGGTTCGGAGCTCTGGGAGAAGTCGAGAGGAGGGGGTGGTGGCTTCGATGGAGGAGCCGTTCTGCGTACGCGGGCGAACGACTGCGAATAGAAGTGCAGGTAAAGATTATTTGTAGCTGGGTGGAGCTGCATCCGTCTTAGCACTTCTGGAGCTCGGATGGCGAGATGGAATCCATGCAAGCCGCCTGCAGCAGTGGAACTGGGGCACCTCAGCAGTGCTGGAGCAGAAAAGTGCACCCTGCGAGCCTATCGGGGATAAGGATTGGCCGGCCCGGAAGCGGGGAAGGTGTGCGCGGTGGGACTGCCGTAGTACCGTGGTACCTATGCCCGCGCCGGTGTGGAACTCCACTTCTTCACCGTCTGGCCCCCCCTTCCGTCCGCTTATCCAAGGCCGAGGATAACTCTGGCTAATGAAATGGCGTGCTAGCGAGGTCGGAGACACCCATGGTCCATTATATTGGGTGCACAGCAGACGAGAACATGCCATGGCCGACTGTTTATGGCTTGGGATTCCGTGTTGATTACCTACCAACTTCGGCAGGCTTACTAGGTCGACACGGATAAGCCCCGAGACTCCCGATACAATTGCCGTTAACTTCCTCGTCATCAATTCCACATTTCAACGACTGCCATCGGCCTGCCAGCAAGGAATGTAAGACCTCTCAAAGCACATAATTCCATGTATCCAACCCTATAGATCCATACACCTCGCTATACCAAATATCCGCCCCATTGTCCGTAGAAAGCCTCCCCAAAGTGTCTAAACTCACCTTATAATAAGGTAGTGTCCCGAAGTACCTCAAGTCTTCCACCCCGGAATAAGCTGCACATTAAACGTCGGCGTCCCAAGCCCCCCAGCAGCCCCCCTCAGATGCGCCAAATACGCAGCAAGCTCCCCGTCCTGCTCAATCGCCAACGGCATCTCCCCGCCCTTGCCATCCTTCAACACCCCCTCCAGCCGTAGACAAATTGCCCCCGGAAACTTGCTCGCCGCCGCGTGCCGCAGCTCCTGCACGGAATGCGAGCTCAGCGTCGCGATCCAGATGGTCGTGGTGGCCACGAAGGTGGAGGAAGGGTGGAGGCGTAGGTAGACGGCTATGCTCGTGGTAGACGGAGGCTGCGGCTGCGGGTGCTGGTGCTGTGGTATTGGTGACGGCGGCGCGTGGAAGACGGGTTGCTGCTGCTGTGCTGCGGCGACGGCAGCTACGGCGTATTGCTGCGCGTATTGCTGGTCTACAAACGCCGCCTGCGCGTCGGCTGCTAGTAGGAGAGACGAACCCATGTGGTGAGACTCCAGCCCCATATCCGCCTGCCCGAGGAGCGCCGATGAGAGGATCCTCGCCGCGGAGTGGCCCATCGGGTCGGCGGCCGCGGCGGCCTGGACTTGCATCGACACGGTGGGCATGAGCATCTGCGGCTGCTGGCTTGCCCCCGAGTCGGGAACGAGTCCCATGGACGGCGGTACAGATACCTGGCTGGCGTTGACGTACTGGCCGCCGCCCAAGTCATCCTGGTCCCCCAAAGCATCAACCAGTTCTGGCTGTGCGGACTGGACCGGGACCTGGACCTTACTCGCCTGGACATCCTCTTGCCGTTTTGCGTCGTCACAAACTAGTTGTGTCTGTTGCGTGACTCCTCGTTTCCGCGGCTGCTCCCGCCTCGAGATGTCATCCCTCAACCTCTTCATCACATCCTTCGCAAGGACATCCAACGCCCGCACCTTGTCAGCGCGAGCGTGATCATGTACTGAAGAACCACCACCGTCTCCTTCGTCCCCCGGCGCAGCGAGAACCCGCCGCACCAGCTCCGACTCAACCTCCCACTCCGCCTTGAGCTCCGCCCACTGCACCGGCCCAGCCTCAGACTTGCAACCGAGCCCCTCCCGCTTCAGTATCCTCTCAAACGCCGCGCGGAGATCCCTCGCCTCCTCCGGGTTGACGCCCAGGATATTTTTCGCCTCAGCGAGCGTGAGCCGCTTCTCCAGCGTCCGCGCCCGCTTCGTGATGTCCGTACATATAACATCGAGCGCCAATTTCTTGGAATCGTGGTTGTGCTTGCTGTTACTATTGCCGTTCACATTCTCAGACTCGTCGTCGTCCCACATCACCGCCCTCAACCGCGGCGTCTCCCTCACCAGCCGGGCTTTGACGGCCTCCCACCTCTCCGGCCCGGCGATCGTCTTCTTGACGATGCCGGCTTCCTCGCAGAGCTGCGCAAACGTGACCCGCACCTGACGATATACGTCCGTCTCCAACCCGAGGATGGCTTTTGCGTCGTCGAGCGTGGTCTCCGAAGGAAAGCGCGGAGCGATGGGGTGTTGTGAATCATGAGATGATGCGGCCTCCCAGGCTCGTAGCCGCCGCCTCTTCCTCCTGTTGTTGCTGCTGCTGTTGCTGTTGCTTTCTTTGTGTCCCACTGCGCCAACCTCATCCTCCTCCTCCTCACCCTCGGCAGTCATCGGCGACCCGAGCATCTCCCGATCCGCAAGAGTACCAGGCGTCACAACCCCCTCACCACCCCGGCTCCCAAAGCCGTCGTCGACAGTGACCACAGATGCATCCCGCCGACCAGAACCCGCCACCATCACCTCCTCCTCATCCCCATTGCCCTCCTTGGACCGCTCTCCGTTCGCAGCCTTCAAAAGCCACCGATTCTTTGTCCTCACGCGAATCAGCTCGCGCTTCTTGATGTCGAACCCTTCCTCCCTCAGCACGGCCAGCATCTCCCCCTGCGTCAGGTTCCGCTCCCACAGCTCCTTGACGCGCGCGACCAGTCGGCCGTTCTTGTGCGCCGGGTTCTGCTTGGACGGGAAATCCCACTTGCGGAACTGGGTCTGGAAGGCTCGTTTGCTGTAAACATGCGTGTGAGCGAGTAACTCGTGTAGTCCCACAGCCTTTGCTTTATCCCGGATTCGGCCCCGATCCCGGCCCCGGTTCCGTTGTGGAACGGGGGTAAGCTGTGCCGTGTGTGGATCGGACAGTCCGGCCGGCGAGAGGAACCACGAAGACCATAGGGGACATTGGGGGATAAAGAGAGAGACTCAGGACTGACCAGGGCGCAAAGTCATGGTGCATTTTGAGGTACACCATGATGTCCTCGAGGGGCTTCTTCTCGTTGATGTAGAGCTGAAAACATAACTTCTCGTGGGCATCCCAATCATAGACCATGCCTCTAGGATTTCGCTATAAGCAGTGTCTTGCAATAATGCGTCTCTGGTTGAGGGAGGGCGTCGACGATGCGCAAGTGGTTGGTTGAGTCAGCCGTACTGTGCCAAGATCCTGATGCACGGTAGCAAGACTGTCTGATCATCTTATCGCCCTCTTATCGCATTCTTATCAATGACATTACCGAAGTACCTTACCTTACACTCGGTGAGCTTCGGTGAGAAGCTGTACCTCCACTAAGTGTCCTGGCTGTATCTCTCGGGGACTTGGTCATCGATCTGTTGAATCGGCTTCATAATGAACAACTAGCTTGATATGATTAGAATGTCAGAGTCTCCAAGTTTCTGACAGCAATTGACAACCAAGCCAGTCTCCGATACACGCCGGGCCGCTCCGCATGGACGTTGATCGCTCTACCATTCCGGACCTCGGTACCGGTTGTAAGCGCTCTTCCCCTCCATCTCCAACCTTTGACCTCAAACCCAAAGACGGCGGCAAAGCACATCCACGTAAAAGTTCACCTCCATCTACATTATCCCCCACCTCCATCTCTTACAATCTTGTCATTCTGAATAACTCAGCCTCTATCAAAAACCACAAATTCCATCACCAACAGTCTCACCACCAACCTCATCACCACGACCTCAACTCCACATCCAACACATCATCAACCACAACTCTCCAAGCAGCCATCAACAATGCCCTCCCTCCCATCATCCTACAACACCCTCTCCCTCCCCCAAATAACCCTCTCCCACCACCCCGCCTCCTCCCCATCCCCAACCCCAGTAATCCTCCTCACCCTCAACCGCCCCTCCGCCCGCAACGCCTTCACAGACGAAATGGCATCCTCCCTAGCCCAAGCCTACACCCTCCTCTCCGCCGACCCCCGCGTAAAAGCCATAGTCCTCACCGGCTCAGACCCCTCCAACAAAACCTTCTGCGCCGGAATGGACCTCCACAACCGCGTCCGTCTCCCTTCCCACCGCGACGCCCACCGCGACACGGGAGGCCTCGTCGCCCTAGCGATGCACAACTGCTCGAAACCAATCATCGCCGCCATAAACGGCTCCGCCGTCGGCGTGGGCATCACCATGGCCTTACCCGCCTCCATCCGCATCGTCTCCCGCGACGCGAAGATCGGCTTCGTCTTTGCGCGGCGCGGGTTCAACATGGAAGCCTGCTCGTCCTTCTACCTCCCGCGCCTCATCGGCGCGGGGCCGGCGCTGCACCTGTGTACCACGGGAGGTGTCTACCCGGCCACGAGCCCGCTCCTGCGCAACTTGTTCAGCGAGATCGTCGCGCCGGACGAGGTCCTCCCGCGCGCGCTGGCGGTCGCCGAGGACGTGGCTGCGAACGTGAGTACCGTGGCCGTGAGGGTGATGCGGGACATGATTCTGAGGTCGCCGGCGAGCCCGGAGGAGGCGCACCTGCTGGAGAGCAAGATCTTCTTTGACCTGTTTAGCGGGAAAGATAGTAAAGAGGGGATGGAGAGTTTCATGGAGAAGAGAGCGCCGCGGTTCGAGGCGACGATGGAGAAGGATGCGCCGACGGCGTACCCGTGGTGGAAAGAGGTTGATATCAAAGCAAAGATTTGAAATTCGCTGTATAGGTACATTTGTAAAAATTAAAAACACATCATGAGAATAAGTACTGAACGGACGGTCCTGATTGCAGCATGTGACCGCTAACCCAGTTCATCCTCACCGAAACCCCCCTATTCAACTGTGAACCAGATACACCCACTTTCAAGGCCTGTACTTCCACAACTTCGGGTCAAAGATGATATCGTACTCGTTCTTGGAGAATGTGCCAATGGCACAACTCAGATCATGATATCCCTCCAGACCGTTGACCGGCAAATCTTGTTCAGAGTCACCCTCCTCATGAAGGTTCCAGCTCCCGGACAGTCTACCGTCTCGCGTGAAGAAGATCTCAACGCTCATCCTGCCGCCCTGAGCCGTGAAGGACATGCCGATACCCA